TTCTGGTCTTTTCAAAAACCAGATGGATCCTACAGAATGACTGCAGACTACCACAAGCTCAACCACACCAAGTTTAATTTTGCAAAAGAGAAGTACAGCACATGTTAAGCCTCCTTGGGATCTAAAGGCAACATACACATCTAGAAGTGCTTCTCCGGCCCATATACCAGCTGATACAGAAGGCTACCAGCTTTGAGTGGGGACTAGAGCCAGAAAGGGTCTACAGCAAGTCCAGGCTGTGGTACACACAGCCTTGTTGCATAGATCATATGATCTGGCTGACTTTGGGGGGAGGGGTATCAGGGGTGCAAAAAATGAAGTGCGATAGCATCCCTGGGATTTTGGAGCAAGGCCATTAAATCTGCAATGGAGAATTATACTACTTTTGAGAAATCACTCCTTGTGTTAGGCACCATAAACCTCATTTTGTCATGCTGCTACAGTCCATTTACTGACTAACCCACAAAACTGCCAATTTTTGCTGTGGCCCAGAGCAAGAATAACTTTTAAACAGACCTGATCTGTCATGCACACTGTCTCTTGGGCCGTATGACCTAGCATATAATATGGAGCTGACGTGTCTGTACCAGATAGAAATGTTGTATGAAGCCCTTGGAAACTCCCTGTGTGAGTCACAGTACAATTCATTAGGATTTAGAAGGTGTATTAGTCCGTTTTCATGCTGTTGATAAAGACATACCTGAGACTGAGCAATTTACAAAAGAAAGAGGTTTAATGGACTTACAGTTCCATGTGGCTGGGGATGCCTCACAATCATGGTGGAAGGCTAGGAGGAGCAAGTCACCTCTTACATGGATGGCAGCAGGCAAAGAGAGAGTGCTTGTGCAGGGAAACTGCCATTTTGAAAACCATCAGATCTTGTGAGGCTTATTCACTATCATGAGAATAGCATGAGAAAGACTGGACCCCATGATGTAATTACCTCCCACTGGGTCCCCCCCCACGACACGTGGGAATTGTGGGAGATACAATTCAACATGAGATTTGGGTGGGGACACAGCCAAAGCATATCAGAAGCAAAGCAATATCGTCCTCTGCAGATAACTTTTCTTTAGAGAAGAAGTTTCTAGCTTGTTCTAGAGCCATTACTTTTTCTCCAATCCAGTTCCACCCCTCAAAGTTAATAACTATCCAGAATTGTAATGCCAAAGAAAAGGGAAATTCCATAAATTAGATGGAGATATATTTGAGACCCCAGACAAACAATAAAGGACAGTTAGAAACACTCCAGGAACATTTTCAAGTAAGCACAAATGATTATTGAAAATAATTCATTTTCTTATGCATCTTAAATATTTCTTGACCATATTTTCCAGTTATTTTAGAATCCATGATTCATAACTTTTATATCTGAAAACCCTGTGGGCCTGCTTCTACTATTCATGTATTTCTTCTGATTCTGGGTATACCTGGCAATTTTTGATTGAATGCCATTGTGCATGATAAATTATACAAGCTCTAGATGAGCTTTAGTTTCTTTTTTTGTTTGTATAGAGACAGTGTCTTGCTCTGTTAGCCAGGCTGGAGTGCAGTGGCACAATCATGGTTCACTGCAGCCTTGAACTCCTGGGCTCAAGCAGTCCTCCCCCTCACTCTGCTGAGTAGCTGAGACTACAGGCATGAGCCACCACACCTGGGTAGTTTTTTATTTATTGTAGATACAAAGTCTCACTATGTTGTGAGGCTGGTTTTGAACTCCTGCCTCAAGTAATTCTCCCACATTGGCCTCCCAAAGTCCTGGGATTACAGGCATGAGCCACCACACACAGCCAAGCTTCAGTTTCTGAAGGCAATTATAGTAGGAGCAAATTACCTGAATTCAGTTAGTGAGCTCATTCAAGGTGAGGTATCAATCTTAAGATCTGGTCTATATTTACTCCTAATTCCTAGGTAAAGTCTTTCAGAGGGTCCAACAAACCTGTGGTATTTAACAAGGGCCATCATCCCTGGTGGAATCTGAACTTCAAGTTTGATTTCCTTGGCACATTAATTTTCTACTGAAAGCTCTGCACCTGGCTGCTGTGAATTTCCAAATCTATCCCAAGCCATTTACCAGTTAGTATATTCCTTGTGGGGAAAAGTTGCTTGGTCTATTGGACTTGTTTCTCTTCACTTGTCTTATCACCAGGATCTTTCCATTCAAATCTCATTGTCTTAGCTCAGGGCTCCCTCAGGTACTATCAGTCAGCTGCAGTCTCTTGCTACATAGGCTTCTTCAATATGGCTGTTTACTTCATCAAACCAGCAAGGAAAATCTCTCTCCAGTATGCTAAGACAGTCTTATATAATACAATGTAGTCACGGGAGTGGCATACCATCACCTTTGCCATAGTCTATTGGCTAGAAGCAGTCTCACTTCTGCCCACCTTCAGGGAAGATATTATATAGGGCATTAATTATTGGGGGTCATCTAGGGTGTCTGCCACAACTGCTAACAAAAGGACAGGGACAAGAGGGAATACAAGCATTCAGCAGCACTCACAAATACCACAGTGAAAAGAGCTTTCTTCAGAAGTTCATTTTGCCTCATTAATTGAACACTTAAACATTCCTTATATCTCTCACTTGTAAAATTTGTTAACTAGTAACTTAATGTCATAGGATTTGGTGGTTATAGTGTAAAAAGCGATCGAGATGCTTAGTTTTGTCAGAAAATCACATACAGATATTATTAAAATCATAGGATACTGTATTCCCAGCTACTTGGGAGGCTGAGCAGGAGGACTGGTTGAGTCCAGGAATTTGAGACCAGCCTGAGCAACATACTGAGAGCCCCTGCCTCGAAAAATTATAGGATACCTACTCTCAAGATGCAAAATATTGTTGACTCTGGAACATGGGATTATGGGCACTGGCCTCCCAGCAGTAAAATATCTGCATATAACTTAAGACTAAGACTCCCCCAAATTTGACTAATAGCCTACTGTTGACCAGAAGACTTACTAATAATGTATACAGTCTATTAACACATTTTGTGTATTATGTATGCATTCGTATATTTACTATTCATTCAGTGAAGTGGATCATAAGAAGTTTTCATCCTCATCATCTTCATGTTGGATAGGCTGAGGAGGAGGAGGAAGAGGGGTTGATCTTGCTGTTTCAGTGGTTGCACATGTGCAAGAAAATCCACATATAAATGGACAAACACAGTTCAAACCCATGTTGTTCAAGGGTCAACTATGTATGCTCTCAAAACCGTAAACTTAATCATATGGAAAGCAAATAGGCAATATGTATACATATGTGAAAATGGGATCATTTTAAGAAGCGAATGATGATACATATTAAAGACAAAGCTGAGTGGGAAAATGGATTGGAAAAGAAAATAAACATGCATAATATACACTTTAAATGATATGCTTTATTGGTGATTTCTGGGGACTACATCCAAAAACTTTTTTACACATCAATAATCTCTACACTCAAATGCCAATTTACTTAATAATTTGGTGTATTTCTTTCCTAGCTCCCCCCACCCACACTACATAGATGTACCTAGCTTTTTGTTCCATGTGTTTATCTATACACACACATATACTCACCTAAAATAGATGAAATACAAATTTATACTTATACATACATGTGCATATAACTTTACTCATCGCAAAATTTTTATACGCCAACCACCCAGAATCACTGATATAATGGTTCATATACTTTATGTTTTTACAATATCAATCATATGGTATATTGTTTTATATTTTTTACGTAATGATTTACCATGAACATTTTCCCGAATTTGCAAATAGTCTTAATTGGTGTATATTATTTCACCTAATTGACATATCAATTTTTAATCAGCTATCACTGGATATTAAATTGTCTTTTATTTTTTCGCTACTTTAAATAATACTGCTCTTATGGGAGATGCTCTGAAATTTTTAAATCTTTTATTGCTTCACCACAAAATTATTCTTTCTTAAAACATGGAGATTTTTTAAGTTGTAAGCACTGTTCCTAAGGAAAGTATGTAAAAACTTACTATATATATGCCCTTTCTGTAATGGCTTTGTTTTTGCACTGAAGATATTGATGAATAATATACATAAGGTCTCCTGTTTGAGATCTTTGTTTCAGGGATCCTGATGACTCATCCTCTCTTACCCTATTTAAGGAAGCAATTTTTTTGTTTAGGAAAATAATCTGGGAGTTTAACCGACGTAGGATATTTTATGCTTTATACTATTATTTTAAAAATGTCATACTAGGTTGGGCGCCATGGCTCACACTTGTATTCCCAGTGCTTTGAGAGGCTAAGATGAATGGATCACCTGAGGTCAGGAGTTCGAGACCAGCCTGGCTAACATTGTGAAACCCTGTTTCTATTAAAACCACAACAAATTAGCAGGGCATGGTGGTGCATGCCTGAAATCCCAGCCTACTTGGGAGGCTGGGGCAGGAGAATCGCTTGAACCTGGGAGGCAGAGGTTGCAGTGAGCTGAGATTGCGCCATTGCACTACGGCTCGGGCAATGAGAGTGAAACTCCGTCTCAAAAAAAAAAAAAAGTCATAATCTACTCCACAGTGAACATATCTTAAATTTATAATTGAGTGTTTGCTTGCCACCTCTATACCTTTTCCACAAAATGTTTGGTAAAGAATATGCTAAGTGTGGTGGCTCATATCTATAATCTGAGTGCTTTGGGAGGCAAAGGTGGGAGGATCAATTGAGGCTAGGAGTTCAAGACCAGCCTGGGCAACATAGCAAGACCCTGTCTCTATTTAAAAAAAAGAATATAGAGCATGATTCCTCTCATTTATAATATGGGTTTGTGTTTGTCTATTTATTTGACAAGGTCTGGCTGTAACACCCAGGCTGGAGTACAGTGGCATGATCTCAGCTCACTGCAACCTCCACCTCCTGGCCTTAAGCCATCCTACCTCAACCTCCCGAGTAGCTGGGACTTCAGGTATACACCACCACACCCAGATAACTTTTGTATTTTTTGTAGAGACAGTTTTACCATGTTGCCCAGGCTGGTCTCAAACTTGTGAGCTCAAGTGATCTGCCCACCTTGGCCTCCCAAAAGTGCTGGAATTACAGGTGTGAGCTACCTACCACACCCATGGCTCACTAAATTCTTAGTTTTTCTCAGTATAAATACTCTGATAAACAGTGCCATTTACATTCTTTCTGAAGGCTTTCCCACATCACTACACTCAGTTTGGACCCTTTCAAATTATTTGAGATACAGATTTTCACTCCTGGGTGAAGAATTCTGGGTGAAAAAATTGATCACATTTATTGATGCCTCTGGAATTATACTTCTGTACCTTTTATTAAGTTAAATGAATATTAATATATGAAGAGTTTCCAACGTTCTTTTTTTTTTTTTTTGGAGTTGGGCTGTTGAAATACTTTAAAATATGTATGTATGTATATATATATATATTTTTTTTTTCCCCATTTATTTATTTTATTGCATTTTAGGTTTTGGGGTACATGTGAAGGACATGCAAAATTGTTGCATAGGAACACACGTGGCAGTGTGATTTGCTGCCTTCCTCCCCATCACCTACATCTGGCATTTCTCCCCTTGCTATCTCTCCCCAGCTTCCCACCCCCCACCGTCCCTCCCCTATTTCCCCCCAACCGACCCCAGTGTGTAGTGCTCCCCTCCCTGTGTCCATGTGTTCTCATTGTTCAACACCCGCCTATGAGTGAGAACATGCGGTTTTTGATCTTCTGCTCTTCTGTCATTTATAAGATTACTCCCCATGATGAATTATTTGACATGTAATGAGGTATAATTACTAGTATAATTATCCCACTCTCAAGTATACTTATAGGTTTTTATCACCTGTGTGACTTCTCTGATGTTTAATGAGAGTTGACTTCCCACTGAATGCTTTCCCACAGTCTCCGCATTCATAAGGTTTCTCTCCTGTATGAGTTCTGTGATGCACAATGAGAGTTGATTTCACACTGAAGGCCTTCCCACATTCACTACATTTGTAAGGTTTTTCTCCTGTATGAATTCTCTGATGTTTAATGAGAGTTGACTTCCTACTGAAGGCTTTTTCACAGTCACTGCATTCATATGGTCTCTCTCCTGTATGAATTCTCTGATGTTTAATCAGTGGTGACTTCTCACTGAAGGCTTTCCCACATTCGTTGCATTTGTAGGGTTTCTCTCCTGTATGGATTCTCTGATGTACAGTAAGGGTTGACTTCTCCCCAAAGGCTTTCCCACATCTTCTGCATTCATAAGGTTTCTCTCCTGTATGAGTTCTATGATGGACAGAGAGGTGTGACTTTCCACTGAAAGTCTTCCCACATATACTACATTCATAGGGTTTCTCTCCTGTATGAATTCTCTGATGAACAGAGAGGTGTGACTTACCTCTGAAGCTTTTCCCACATTTACTACACTCATAAATTTTCTCTTTTGTGTGAGTTATCTGATGTTTAGTGGGACTAGGCTTCTCATCAGAGGTTTTCCCATGTTTACTGCACTCAGGTTTCTCACTTGGGTGAATCCTTTGATATATAAGGCCGGATGTAGTACATTTAATACCTTTATAAAATGCTTGTCTAATGTGTGTTTTTTCATGTCTAATAAGATGATATGAACTTTTAAAGGCTTTTGGACATTTGGCACATACAAATGGTTTCTCTCCCGTATGAGTTCGTTGATGTTTAATCAGAGTTGACTTCTGAATAAAGGTTTTTCCACATTCATTACATTCATAGGGCTTCTCCCCTGTGTGAGTTCTCTGGTGTGCTATGAGGGTTGACTTCTGGCTGAAGGCTTTTGCACATTCACAGCATTCATAAGGTTTCTCTCCAGTGTGAGTTCTTTGATGTACAACTAAGTTTGCTTTCTGGATAAACCCTTTTCCACACTGAGTACATCTATAGAGTGTCTCCCCAGTTTGACTTCTCTGACTTTTCTGAAGGGCTTGCTTTTGGTGGAGGGCTTTCCCTCGTTGACTAGGGTCAAAAAATTTCTCCACAGGTTGAGCTTTATGAAGGTTAGAATGGAGGCATACTTTCCAATATGCCTTACATCCATCATCTTTCTTTCTTACATAGCTTCTATTTTGACTAAGAAAGTTTAAATTATGTTTTGAACACCCTTCCCATGAGTAATATTTAGGGAGCCTTTGTTTTACAGAAACAAAGTCTGTGCTGAGAAAAATGCTTTTTCTACATATTTTACATACTTGACCACTTTCATCCTTCAGTGTTTCTTTGCCTGTGAATGCAGCTTGCCACGGAAGTTTGTCTTGGCTTTCCTTGTAGCAATCTATCTGCTTGTCAACTTGCCAGACTTCTAAAAGAAAATGCGATGAATCATCAAACTTGTCTTCCCACTATAATTTATGAAATAACTTTAATCCCTAAATGCCAAAGCAGTGGACTCCTGCTGGATATAGATGGAGGACCCTCCCCATGTCCCAAGCTCAAAATCAAGAAGAGAAATGTATTGGGTGTCAAAATGAAGTGGGAATTTAAAGTGACAGGGTGAACAGAACAGCTTGAGGATTTGAAGGGGACCATAGGGCACAAATGTTTAGGTATTCAGGAAAGTCAGAGTGTAATTTTGGCTTAAAGCTAGAATTACAAGGGCTTCCATGCTTGTTAAACAGGAACTAGAAAGATTCCCTACTAGCCAAAGAAACTGGCAAGGAGGATGTTATATATAAGACATCAAAAGCCTAATTCTGTAACTCAATCCAAATGATTACTAGTACAGAGCCTATAAACTGAAAAATTAACATAAAAGCTGGTCTTCTCATTGGTAGGTTCATAGCAGTGGCAACCTTTCCAAAAGACACACACATACACACACACACACTCTCTCTCTCATATTTTTATAGTTGAGGACATCACAGAACTTCTACAGAAAACCAACTCTCACTGAAGAGTTCAGAGTAGGAAATTTAAAACCTTACAAGGAACTGATCCATTATTAGAGAGAATCAACAGATATATTTAAATATACTCCCATTCTTAGAACTGTAGATAATAGAACAATGTGAGCTTTAAAATAAGTATATTTCAAATGTACAAAGATAAGAACTAGACTATGAAGGAAATAGCAGGAAATTTTGAAAAAAGACAGATGAGTATTTTTAAAGTAGGCATTATTAAAAAAAACTCTAAATAGGCTGAACAGTAGACTAGCCACAGATAAGACAGATTTAATAAGTTAGATGACAGATCTTGGGAAATCACTGAGTCATCTAATAGGCTTCCCTTGGCATAAACATCACACATGTTGGTGCACCTTTGATACTGGAGTTAGAGTGTGCTCTGTGTTCATGATAGGCAGACAGCATAAGGAAGCCTGCACATGGATGCCTCCAGATTCTGTCTGTGCCCTTTTCCCTTATAATCCAATTGTTTATCATTACATCACTGTAATAAATCTTACCCATGATTACAACTATATGCTGAGTCCCATGAGTTTCTCTAGAGAATATATGAGTATGGAAGCGGTCTTGGGGACCCTTGACCTAGGCAATATTTAAAGAGACAAAAACTGATTCTTTTCTAAAATGGAAGAAAGGCAAGCATCCTACCACTGAACGTCCAAAGTCCTTGAGTATGGTAAATAAAAGCAAGTCTGCACTTAGACAAAGTTCAGTATAACCACAAGACTTTCAAGTCAGAAAGAAAATATTGTAAGGTACCATGAATAAAAATATCCCCTATATAAAAGCAAGTCTGCACTTAGACAAAGTTCAGTACAACCACAAGACTTTCAAGTCAGAAAGAAAATGTTGTAAACTACCATGAATAAATAAAAATATCCCCTATAAAGAAATAATTATATCAATATCAGACTTCTTCAAAAAAGCCAGAAGATTAAAGAACAGTATCTTCAATGTCCTGAGACAAGCTTTCATCTTAGAACTCTATACCCAGATAAATTATCATAAAGAAAGATGACAAAATAAAGACATTTTTGGACAAGAAAACACAAAGATTTTGCCATACACGAAACCTGGCTAAGAAAAATGCTTGATACTTCAGTTATTCAGAAGGATAATGACTAAAGGGGAAAAAGACCAGGGGTAAAGAAAATCCAGCAAAGGCAAGAAAAAAGAGATAGTGAAAAAGCAGGCTATGTAGGAAATACACTAAAAGAAGAAATACAAATATGGCAATTTCACAATAAATATATATTAACCATATTAGTTAAATGCCAGCCATATTAAATTGCATTTTAGAAAAATCAACTCCATGTTTTCAAAAGACAATTAGGGCAAAATGAGAGAGAAATTTGAAAATAAAATTATGGGAAAAGCTATACCTGGCACTTAGTAACCAAAATAAAATCGCAAGAGAATGCTTATATGACCTTGATGCCAAAAGCAAAGAAGGATAAAATATGAGAATATTATAAAGCAATTTTCACTTACATGGATGTGAAACTCTTATACATGGCAAATTGATTCCACTTGTGACGGATAAGAGGTAATACATCTAGTAATATTGAAAATATACAGCCTGGGCAACATGGCAAAACCCCATCTCCACAAAAAAATACAAAATATTAGCCAGGTGTGGTGGCACACACCTATAGTCCCAGCTACTTCGGGGACTGAGGCAGGAGGATTGCTTGAGCCTAGTAGGTTAGGGTTGCAGTGAGCCATGTACACAACACTGCACTCTAGCCTAGGTGACAAAGTAAGATCTTGTCTCAAAAACAATAAACACATGTGCATGTGTACACACACACACACACACACACACACACACACACACACACACCTTACTACCTATTCCACTTATACCACAGAGAAATCAGGGCAAATTTTAACATGTACAGGAATGGCAACAAAATATTAGAAATTACCAAATATCCACCAATAGAAGTATGGTAAATGAACGATGACACTCATATGTTGGAATGCTACTACAACAGTTAAAATAAATGATCTAAATCTAAAGTATCAGCATAGAGAAAGCTCAAAAGGTAATACTGAACACAGAAAGCAAGTTGCAGAAAGATCCCTATTATTTTTAATTTTTATTTTTTTTGAGGTGGAACCTTGCTCTGCTGCCCAGGCTGGAGTGCAGTGGCACAATCTCAGCTCACTGCAACCTCCGCCTCCCAGATTCAAGTGATTCTCCTGGCTCAGCCTCCCAAGTAGCTGGGATTATAGGCACCCACCACTGCGCCTAGCTAATTTTCATATTTTTAGTAGAGATGGGGTTTCACTATCTTGGCCCGGCTGATCTCGAACTCCTGACCTCATGGTCCATCTGCCTTGGCCTCCCAAAGTGCTGGGATTACAGGTGTGAGCCACTGTGCCTGGCCTTTTTTTTTTGAGATGGAGTCTTGCGCTTTAGCCCAGGTTGGAGTGCAGTGGTGCAATCTTGGCTCACTGCAACCTCCGTCTCCCATGTTCAAACAATTCTCCTGCCTCAGCCTCCTGAGTAGCTGGGATTACAGGCATTCACCACCATGCCCGGCTAATTTTTGTATCTTTAGTAGAGACAGGTTTTCACCACGTTGGCCAGCTGGTCTCAAACATGTAACCTCAGGTGATCCACCCAACTTGGCCTCCCAAAGTGCTAGGATTACAGGCGTGAGCCACCGTGCCTAGCCAAGATCCCTATAATTTGAGTGTACTAATCTGGTAATTTTACAAAAAGAATTCTATATTGATTACACGCACAAACATATGTAGTAAAAGTATAAAAACATAGATTAAAAGGATACTCACAAAATTCATTATACTGTTTACCTGAGGAGGAGATAAGAGGAATAGGACTTAGGAGGGGAAAAATGGGACTTCAACTTTATTTGTAAACCTCTGTTTCTTTTATTTAAAAAAATGACAAAATGTTAACATTTGCTATTTCTGGGAAGGAAGTACAAGGGCGTTTGTAATAATTATGATTTTCTGTACTTTTTTGCAGTTTTAAAAGAAAGGCTTTTAGGCTGGACTTCTGAAATGACTGAGTGAGAGGAAGGACCTTGGTAAATCCTCTGCCCCCAAAAAGTAATGAAAATACTGGCAAAATAAAAATTATCAAAATCAATCATTTCAGGACTTTAGAAATTAACCAAAGGCAGACAAGCAATTAAAAATCATTTATTCAAGAAAAACTAGGCCGGACATGGTGGCTCACGTCTGTAATCCCAGCACTTTGGGAGGCTGAGGCAGGTGGATCACATGAGGTCAGGTGTTCAGGATCAGCCTGGCCAACATGGTGAAACCCTGTCTGTACTAAAAATACACAAATTAGCAGGGCATGATGGCGGGCACCTGTAATCCCAGCTATTTGGGAGGCTGAGGCAGGAGAACTGCTTGAACCTGGGACACAGAGGTTACAGTGAGCCAAGATTGCCCCATTGCACTCCAGCCTGGGTGACAAGAGCAAAACTCCATCTCAAAAAAAAAAAAAGAAACAACAACAACAAAAAAACAACAAGGAAAATTAGCAAACCTCACTAAGAACAGCCAGGTGATGGTTCACTTGGCACTACTACTACTCTTCACGCTCCTTCAGTGGCTCCCCAGCTCCATGAAAACTGGCAGCCTCACAGCTACCCAAGGGGATGACCTGTTTTGGAGCTCTACCAAAAGCCCTATCCCCAGACTGCTGCTGCTATTTGGTCTAACTTGAAGCTCAGCTCCAAGAAAATAAAGGACACTCTGGTAACTCAAATCCACACAAAGAAATAAAGAGCACCAGTAAAGGTGACATGTAGGAAAGTGTTAACACAGCAGAACTGATCTTTAGAAGTGCCTGCTCACATAGCTACTGCTGGGTAAAGTCTGGGAACTTAGGCTTGTGGAATATTTCCTATGTTGATATGATGGCTTTGCCTGCCTAGGGCACTGAACACCTGTTTTTCTTCTGGGAGTCTCGATGCCCGAACAGTAGAGGCTGATAATTTTCTGGTATGATGCGCCTATTTTTAGTGGGTCAAACTGGACTTGCCCACAGACAAAGTGAAAGGGGCTTAACAAAAAAGGCCTAGCTTGCCACTTGGAAATGCAATGCAGCTCTCTGGCCCTATAGCATCTTGGCTTTGCATGGGGGGCGGGGGGAACTATCCCTGTGAAGATTTATTTCCTATCACGTACCCAGAAATACTGGTGACAATGATCTCATATGGGGATATGTCAGAGCACCGTAAAGGGGGCAAAATCTTATAAGCTGAAACAGAGAAAAAAAAATGATATCAAGTATTAATAATCAGAACAGCTTTACATTGAAAATTAGATGATAATAGAGCAATGCCTTCAAAGTCTAAGGGAAAGACATTTCCATCCTAGAACACTACTCCAAGCCAAACTCTCCATCAGGAGTCAAACACTTGCAGACATCCCAAAATCTCAAAACTTCATCTCCCATGGGCTTACATTCTTTCTTAGGAAAGTACTTAAAGAATGTGCTCCAACCAAATGAGGAAGGTGGCATGGCATATAGAAAATATGGAACCCAACAATGTAGAAGGTGAAGGGAATCCCCAGACACTGAAGAGCAATGTCAGGATGGTAGCTGCACAAGAAGGAATGAGGGTAATTCATCCAGATGAGAGCAGGTCAGAAGGCTTCAGAAAAACTCAGGGATATGACACAAAGGAAACCCTTGATATCTCCAGATACGCTCAGAGTCACTCTAGACAACTGGTGATAAGCACATGGAGAAAGAAATAAAACAAGCCAAGTGGTTCACTCCTGTAATCCCAGCACTTTGGGAGGGCAAGGCGAGAGGATGACTTGAGTCCAAGAGTTTGAGACCAGCCTGGACAACATAGTGAGACCCCATCTCTATAAAAAAAAAAAATTAGCTGGGTGTAGTGGTGCACAGCTGTAGTCCCAGCTATTCAGGAGCCTGAGGCGGGAGAATTGCTTGAGCCCAGGAGTTTGTGGTTGTAGGCTGCAGGGAGCCAAGACTGTACCACTGTACTCTAGCCTGGGTGACACAGCAAGATTCTGTCTCAAAAACATTTATTAACCATAAGGAATACAGTTATGCAGGGAAGGTAAATTAATCATAGGTTACTATGTGTCTTGGCTGTGGATAGTATTTATACATACAGTCAGCCCTCTGTATCCATGGGTTTTACATCTATGGATTCAACCAACCAAGGATCAAAACCCACACATATGGAGGGCCGATTATACCATTCCATTTTATATCAGGGACTTGAGTATCAATGGATTCTGGTATCCATGGAGGTTCTGGAACCAATCCTCTGCAGATACAGAGAGCTAACTGTATAGTCATATTGTAAACAATAGTACTGATAGAAAACAAATTTATGGTCTAATCACATTGGGACTATGAGGAAGCAAGAAGTCTATGTACACAGGCATGCCTTTGGGTGGGTGACAGGAGCAGCATGATGAGTTCAATCTTAACCTTCCATAGTGAAACACTGTAAATAAGTTTTGTAAAATATATGTAAATTATAAAGAATAGTAACACTAAAAATAATACCTGTATATCCACCACCCATTAAAAACAAATTATAGTTATATTTGAAGTTCTTCCTACGCCCATTTCATTTTCTTTCTTTTCAGATAATCAATATCCTGAATTTTATGTTTATCATGCCCTTCACCTTCTTTATGGTTTCACCACATTATTTTATTCTTTAAACCTCAGGCATGACCTACTTTGATAAAACTGAAACCTTCTTTTAAAATCAAGAGAATACTGCCTTAGGTTGGTAAATCTGACATCTCAGATGAAACATAATGGTCTAGAAAAATGACCGGAATTGACAGAAAATACAGGACGCTTGAATAAATCAATAATTGTTTTTAAATTATAAAAACTGATTCCATAATCAAGTCTTGCCATATCCAGATGGTTTTGTAAATGATTGGTATCTAACTCTCAGGAAATGAAATCTCATTCACAGTTTCAAAACTTACAAGAAGGAAAAGTACCCAGTTTATTTTATGTAGCTAGTATAGCCTTGGATACCAGAATAAGAGGATAGTACAAAAAAAAATCTAAGATCTATTTTACTTCTAAACATTAATGCAAAATTCATAAGTTAAATACTAGTAAAGTTAATTCTAAATAAATTTTTTTTAAATGCTTCATAATTAAGTAAAGTTTAGCACAGGAACACAAGAACACTTCAATATCAGAAATCTATCTATTCATGTAATCTACCACATCAGTAGATTAAAGGAGGAAAAACTGTCTTCTCAACATATGCAGAAAGTAAGCATTCAAGAAAATAAAACACTCATGCGTGATTTTTAATTAGGCTGTGTGCAGTGGCTCACAGCTGTAATCCCAGCACTTTGGGAGGCTGAGGCAGGTGGATCACCCAAGGTTAGGAGTTTGAGACCAGCCTGGCCAACAATGGTGAAACTTCGTCTCTACTAAAAATACAAAAAATTAGCCGGGTGTGGTGGTATGCACCTGTAATCCCAGCTACTTAGGAGGCTGAGGCAGGAGAACTGCTTGAACCCAGGAGGCAGAGGTTGCAGTAGGCCAAGATCGCGCCATTGCACTCCAGTCTGGGTGACAGAGTGAGACTCTGTCTCAAACGAAAACAAAAACAAAACAAAAGTCTTATTAACAAACTAGGACTAATAAAAGGGGCTCTTGATGAAAGATATCTTTCAAAATACCACAGCAAATATCACATTTAATAGTGAAAGCTATAAAAGTTACATCATTTCTGTGCCTCAGTTTTTTCATATATAAACCAGGGACAACAACCAGCCTACTTTACATGGTCATTGGAAGGATTCAACTATTTAATGTGTGCAAAGCATACAGAACAGTGCATTTGTGGCACACAGCAAGCATGCAAATACTGACTATCATTTTATTACAATCTTTATCTTCATGATCGTTTCCACTAAAATCAGAAACAAAGAATGCAATATCACTGTATCTCTTAAACACTGTAGTGCAGGTCCTAATTCATTGAGAGAAGAAAAAGAAATAAAATGTATAATTGGAAAAGACAATTGCCTTTATAAAGATAATTATTCACATAGAAAACCCAAGAGAATCACAAAATGATTAGTATTAATAAAAGCATTCAGAAAGACTTCTGTATACATGATGACTTTATGAATATCACTAGCATTCTCATACACTAATATTAACCAATTAGAAGATGGGATAGGAAAGCAGATCCTAATCACAACTGCAACAATAACTAAGAGGTATCTAGGAAGAAATTCAACAAAAAATGCACAAGATCTTCCTGACAAAAAATTTGACACATTAGTAAATGCCATAAAAGGAAAACTGAATTAAGAGTCTACCAAAAGGAAAATTTGATAGTATAAAGATGCCAATTCCCAACCCACTCCCAACTCATTTCTAAACACGTGCAATTGCAATTGGAATCCCGGAGTTTTCCTTGGAACTCAACAAACAAATCCTAAAGTTCCTATGGGAGACCAAAGGATCAAAGGAGATAAAGGGACTAAATCCTATTAGCTCTTAACAACATCAATTGATAAGAATGGTCCAACAGGCCAGGCACAATGGTTCATGCCTGTAATCCCAGCACTTTGGGAGGCTGAGGTGGGTGGAACACCTGAGGTCATGAGTTCAAGACCAGCCTGGCCAAGATGGTGAAACCCCATCTCTACTAAAAATTCAAAAAATTAGCTGGGCCTGGTGGTGGGCATCTGTAATCCCAGCTACTCGGGAGGCTGAGACAGGAGAATTGCTTGAACCCAGGAGTTGGAGGTTGCAGTAAGCCAAGATCACACCATTGCACTCCAGCCTGGGCAACAAGAATAAAACACCATGTCAAAAAAAAAAAAAAGGTGCTCCCCTGGGCACAGCAGAGCAACTGGGTTTTGGCCAGGTGCCACGGTGGCTCATGCCTGTAATCCCAGCACTTTAGGAGGCTGAGGTGGATGGATCACCTGAGGTCAGGTGTTTGAGACCAGCCTGGCCAACATGGTGAACCCCTGTCTCTACTAAAAATACAAAAAATTAGCCGGGTGTGATGGCAGGTGCCTGTAATCCCAGCTATTCAGGAGGCTGAGGCAGAAGAATTGCTTGAACCCGGAAGGCAGAGATTACAATGAGCCAAGATCGCATCATTGCACTCCAGCCTGGGTAATAAGAGTGAAACTCCTTCTCAAAAAAACAAAAAACAAAACAAAAAAAAACAGAGCGGTACAACAGTTCAGCCGGACGCGGTGACTCACGTCTCTAACCTTACCACTTTGGGAGGCCGAGATGGGCGGATTGCCTGAGCTCAAGAGTTTGAGACCAGCCTGGGCAACATGATAAAAACCCATCTCTACTAAAATACAAAAAATTTGCCAGACGTAGTGGTGCACGCCTATAATCCCAGCTACTTGGGAGGCTGAGGCAGGAGAATCACTTGAACCCAGGAGGTGGAGGTTGCAGTGAGCCAAGATCACACTACTGCACTCTAGTCTAGGTGACAGAGCAAGACTCTGTCTCAAAAAAAAAAAAAAAAAAAAAAAAAAAGAGGAAAAAAGACAATCTAACAAACGGACAGTATACTTGTAATAAAGCATTAATATGTACTCTACTAAAAATAGTGCAGCCAGGCATGGTGGCTCACACCTGTAATCTTAACACTTTGGGAGACTGAGGCAGGTGGATCACATGAGCCCAGGAGTTTGAGATCAGTCTGGGCAACATGGCAAAATCCCATCTCTACAAAAAAATACAAATATTAGCTGGGTGTGATGGTACATGCCTGTAGTACCAGCTACTCAGGACGCTGAGGAAGTAGAATCACCTCCAGCCTGGGCAACAGAGTGAGAACCTGTCAAAGAAATAAAATAGAGAAAGAAAGAAAAGAAAAGAAAGAAAGGAAAGAAAGGAAGAAAGAAAGAAGTGCTATGGGCTAAGCATGATAGTTCATACCTATAATCCCAGTACTTTGGAAGGCCAAGAGGGGCGGATCACCTGAGGTCAGGAGTTCAAGACCAGCCTGGCTGACATGGCGAAATCCCATCTTTACTAAAAATACAAACATTTGCTGGGTATGGGGGCACATGCCTGCAATCCCAGCTACTCAGGAGGCTGAGGCAGGAGAATTGCTTGATCCCGGAAGGCAGAGGTTTCAGTGAGCTGAGATTGCCCCACTGCACTCCAGACTGGGTGACAGAGCAAGACTCTGTCTCAAAAAACAAAAAAAAAAAGAAAAGAAAAGAAAAGAAAATAGTGTTATGAATAAGTAGGAGGACGGCACATACCATAAGAAAAAAAATGAGTAGAAGACTTACGCAGGTGCTGTGTAAGATTTATACAAGTCACTCAAATTCTCTATAAAATATGAAATGAGGATCAATGACATTACTAATCAAGGAAATGAAAGTTTCAATCACAATAAGATACTAATACACACCTACCAGAATGGGAACAAATAAAAGTCTGACAAGCAGAAATGACACGGAGGGAGCATCTACAAATGCTTTACAAACCAACAACATCAAAAACAACATTTGGCCTTATCTATAAATGATTCACACCTCCAGAACCCAGACACCACAACCTAGGTATATACATGAGTAAAGCTCTCACAGCAAATGTTCCTAGCAAACATGTAAAATAATGGCAGTATTATCATTAGCTATACTAGCCTTAAACTGGAAACAACTGAAACTCCATCAGGAGAGTAAATACTAGCTGAGTGCAGTGGCTGATGCCTGTAATCCCACACGTTAGGAGACCAAGACAGGAGGACTGCTTGAGGCCAAGAGTTCAAAACCAGCCTGGTCGATATAATGAGACCCCATCTCTACATAAAAAATAAGAATAGCCGAGCACAGTGGCACATACTGCTTACTCAGGAGGCTGAGGCAGGAGGTTTGCTTGAGCCCAGGAGTTCAAGCCTGCAATGAGCTATGATCACACCACTGCATGCCAGCCTAGGTAGCAGAGTGAGATCCTGTCTCTAAAAAATAAATAATTTTGTAGGTACTTTTAATTGTGTGATACCCAAACTAGAACACTATCCTGCAATGAAAACAAACATCATGGCTGAATCTCACAACTACAATAGTGAATAAAAGAAACAAGTCACAAAATAATTCATACAGATGATTCTATTTTTATAAAGCTCAAAAAAGAAAAGTTCAAACTAAACAATATGCTTGTGGATACAGATAGATAGCAGAAACTCTAACAAAATCCTAAAAATAATTACCCCTGAATTTGGGATACAGGTTACATACAGGAGAGAGGTAAGAGTTGTAGTTCTCAACCTGAGTGGTGATTATACAGGTGTTAGCTATGTTTCTTTTGAAAACTATGCATGTGTTCTAAATGCTCTTCTGTATGCATGATACAGTAATCAATAAGGACTTCTTTCTATCTCAAAGAAATAGAAAATGAAAAACACAAAAATAAACACAGTTCAGAGCTGGTTCTGTGAAAAGATCAATACAATTGATACATCTTAGACTGATCAAGAAAAGAAAAAATATACATTATCAATATCAGGAGGACAACATTACAGATCCTACAAATATTAAAAATAATAAGGAACCCTTATGAAAAAAACTTTATTTAC